GCGTAGCTGTCGTACCTCTGACGATCCTAAATGTCTCAAAGAGACTGGAACTTTCTCGCTCTCAAAGTTGTGGTATCATCATCATCCTTAACTTTATCTGTACAGAGCTGGTTTCATTACCGACACCCGGGGCATCCTTGTCTGAAAGATTAACATAACCATCAACCTTAAGATGCTCATACCAGAGCCGATGTATATACCGGCACCCGGGACATCAATGTCCTCAAGTTTACATATTATTAACCTTAAGTTGATCATTACCAGATCCGATGACATTATCGACATCCGGGACTATACCGACCTAAAGGTGAAGGAGCGCGTCAACCCTAATTTTCCCAATACCAGGACCGATATCATTGCCGACATCCGGTAATTTACTTTCCTCAAGGTGATAAACGGCGTCAACCTTAATTTGATCTATTTTCGATCCGATGTCATTATCGACATCTACTGATGAGTAATTTTTAGTGAGATCACCACCCAATGGATACTTACGTGCCACTCCACGCTCGTCAAATGGGCGTTGCCCCTGATGGCTTGGTATTCCACCAACAATGTCTTGAATGACATTCAGTGTATCACAATCATGGCCAACATCACTCAGTGGGTACTTATATGCTACTCCCCTATCACTGGATGGGTTCAACCCATAATGACTTGGCTCTAGGCCAACAGCTCATTCAGCATTCAGTGAAACTTTTTTTTTCACAACAATAATTACTCGACGGAGTACGTGCCGTCTCGCTAATAGTCATGAGCTTGACTCGTAACTACCGTTTTTGACATCGTCCAACTCAACGAGTTCAGCCATACCAATGTCCTGCACACTGACTGCCTCAGTCATTGGCTCGCGCCAATAGCATTTCTGTCTTCTAGCAGAGGTGGGTTTCATGACTCTCCAAAGCTCCACTAGGAACAGTGCGCGTTGCGCCTAAGGTCTTTTACCTCCAACCCCTCATGTCTCATGGCACTTTAACCAAGCCATACCAAGAATGAGATCATAACTCTCATCCATTTCAAGTACTAGACAGCTTTCGATACTATCAAAGTCCAAAATTAAACGCCTAAGTTCACAGGAACTTTGGTCACAGTGACTAATGCACCTGTCGCGAAGCGAACAGTGATAGTCTCATTCTTGTGCGTTTTAGCGCCTCAGCATACTGCTGTCATCCATCCACGGAACGACGTCGGCCATAATTTCCCGACGCTCCGGATCCGATAAATATCAGCCATGGCTTATCAAAGTCCTGAGCTGTTGCTTGTGCAACAAACAAGCCTGGCTTGTATGCATGCTTCGCTACGTAGTACACGAAGCCACTTAAGGCTAGGCCCTATTTTCCATCACCTCCCAGAAGTACAGCAGACTTTAAACCTTCATCATCAGGCGCCCCTCGCTTACTGGGAATCGACGTTTTACCGCGCCTTACCAACTCGTTAGCGACGGAAGGTCGGCTCGAATAAGCAGGTCTAGTTCTATTCAACAGACAATTGGGGCGAAGATGTTTGATGATTTTGCACGTAAAGCATCTACGGATGTTTGAACGCTGTTTAATAGCGTAAAGCTCAGCTTCTTTATCTCTCTCAGCTAGAGACTGCGATCCATAGGTTCTGCCCTATCTAGAAGATGAACATTGCTTGAAGAGTTTGATTGAAGCCCATGAGTCTCATAATGGGTAGCTTTTAAGTTGAAGTCTGCGTTCAACGCAATGTCCGCTGCATTCTCAAATGTTGAGGGTTGAGCACGGAATATCTCTGTTCTGGCAACGTCAGCGCGAAGGCTCTCCATAAAAGGGTTATTAGAACCGTCTCAGGTAAGGGGTCAAGCTGCATAGCAGCAAAGAGAGTTTATAACTCCTGGACATATTCGAAAAGGGCCCTTTTACTCAGGCGGGTCGACAGGAAGCGTGATCGCACGATTTGTGCCTGTATAGGCGGGGTAATACCCGATGTAGTTGTTGTTTAGTATTTCTTAGGGGGAAAAGCCTCGTCTATAGAGGTACCATAAGTGAAGGCCCACTCCCTGGCTCGCCCACCCAACTTCGATAGGGACGGGTAGACCCTTTGCTGCTCTGACCGCAACAGGGTCCAGCTGATGACAGCCTCCATCTCCCGGACCCACAAAACGAGATTCCTCCCTCTTTCCTCTCAAAAGTCTTAGCACTTAAGACCAGAAGACGAGTTCTTGACCCATTGTCTGGTATTGGAACATACCAAGTGGGCATGGCGGACGCCAAATGGTCATAAACATGTCCAATCAACGTGGACTGAAAGTTCGAGAGGGCCTCTAGACGTGCACGAAGTGCGTCCGGGCCTTGAGACACTATACGAGCCAATTACTCGTGCCCGATCTTCTCAAGCGTGACCTTTTGGGCCTTAGAGAGGTTCAAGGCCGTTTCCATCCTCGCAGAGATTCCAGTCTGAGAATACTCAAGTGTAGATTGACTACTAGTGCTATCAAGTGTAGCGGAGCTATTAGATTAGCTTAGCGCTCCTTAACAGAGGAAGTTTTTGACTCAAAAAGTCTCTTGGTGATACTAACAACGACGTACAGTCGTTCAAGCGTACAAGCTTCACAAAGGGGTACAATTCACAAGATCACACACTAACTAGTCACTGCTAGTTAAACAAGAGTAAACGCCTTCACAAGACTAACACTCTAAACAACACAGTATGCATTGACTGGGCACTAGTGTCCAACGATTCAAAAGGGTAACTGGACTTTATTGATTCTTTAACAACGGTAATAAATACCTAAAACCTTGTCTGACTGACTTCTACATTGCGATCCTATGACAGAAGTCTGATCCTTCCCCATTAAGGTGCGGTGAAACCCCAAGTACGTGGTACCAAGCGTGTACCACTTAGATCCACCGATCTTTATTGGTGTGGACACGCAACATAACCGGTTCAATAACATCGTGTAACCCCGTTACATTAAAATCATAAGGCCACACCAAGCATACAATTTCGAGTATAAAAAGAAGTTTGTTGAAAGCTAGGATCATCACTCACTATTTTATTATTTAAATTTGTAAGGAGCACAGAAGTAAGTCGAAGTGAACGAAGTGTCACCGGCATTCTTGACTCAATTATCGACAGTAAAGTGTGCTATGGTAGCGGAAGTAGATGAATCGTGGGATCGCATAAGTTGTTCATGCTTGCGCCATCAAGCGCACAAAAATACGCTCCCAAAACGATGCTATTCGTAGTCTAAAAGGCAGCAAACGCAACCATTCCAAATCGGTTATATGGTTGATCGTGTGATCCATATGCTCATTCAACAGGTAGCGAGTCTATGGAATTCAGTAATAAGGCTGCAGCCGTATAAATATTAATTGCTGATGGATACCGAGTAAGATGTTGATATCATCGACGCTTGCTGTAACGGGGCACCCTGAAGCTTGTACTGGTGACAGTACAAGCTACTTATTCTGATGACAGAATAAGGCGGCGCCTCGTAACTTCACGTACACTCGTACGTGCAGAGGAAGACGGTAAGATCAAGCGAGTACTTGGTTAAAGTAAAAAGTAGAACTGTATTTATAATAGTTGATGTCTGCAATAAATCACTATTTATCTTCATCTAACTATGTCTAAATACAAATGTGTAAATCAACTATCTGCTCACCACTCATTGCATGCGTCTGTCGTGCGCGTCTTCGTTGGTTGATATAATGGTCTATATCAACCAATTAGGAACTACTCGTAAGTGCTACAGAATATTTGTCCTTATGACAATATTCTGAGAGTATAACTCTTATAGTTATATTCTATTAACGATTTCTTATAAATTGTTATGCAACGATTCACCCCGTTACACTTGCAGAAATGTTGCGTTTGTTGTCTTTTGTAAGATGAATAGCATCCGTATGGGGGCGTATATTTGCGCGCTTGATGACGCAAGCATGAACAACTTATGCGGTCCCATGATTCAGCTACTCACGCACTATAGCACACTTTACTGTCGTCAGCTGTGTCAAGAATGCCGGGCAAACTTCGATCACTTCGACTTACTTTTGTGCTCCTTACGAATGTAGAGTAAAAAGAATGATTAATGGTCATGAGTATTCAACAAACATCCTTTTTATACTTAAAATTGTATGCTTGGTGTGGCCGTATACTTTTGAGCTGGTGCCAAAAGCGGTGATTTGCCTGTGAGTTATGCCATCAACGCAAAGAATGGGAACGTTCACACATGAGAGGTATGTAACAAAACTCTGCGCAAAACAGACTCAAATAACAGCGATTAACTCGTACTAGTTATGGAGCAAAGAGTAAAAACATGGGTGGTCGTATAATCATGGCCCGGACTGCATGTCTAAATGCTACTTTAAAAGTCAGACCCATTCATTTTCCATTATGAGAAGTAGAAGCTGTGTCAGTGGACATCCTTTCGCATCCTGGACCAAACTAAAGTATCTAATGATGCGCAGCCACGAACACACGACCAGCCTGTACACTCATTGAAGCCGTCCATTTGTTGGCAAGGAAGTCATGGAGACAGGTTCATATCCTGGATGTGATATGAGAAGTGTGATGAGTCCACGTTTCTACGGCATGCAAATGGGAATTGTCTCCTCTCACCACTTGATCAGAACCACAGCCGACGTAACTTGTTTCGGGGTTTGCACACCTCAACGACACTCACGAATTCTACTTTCCAACCTCAACCAGCATCCGCTTTCAACCGTGCTTATGTCAATGTCAGTCGTCATGCGCAATGAACATCAAGTCTGTCCACAGCAATCAGAAGTAAATTATGTACCGGAATCTCATCGATACCTGAAGTGTCGCTGCTGCTACGAGCTCGTAAGATGAACGTGCAACGTCCATTAGAATTGTCATGCAGCTATAGGTCTCACGCAGCAAAGGAGCTGTACGAACAGGAAACTTTGCTAACGCTGAGGATGGAGGAAGTCCCGCAGACTAGTTTTGGGTTGTCCTTGTCTTTCCCGCCATTTCTCTCCTATACTGCACCCTATATCAAGCTGTCCCGTCCAATGGTGGCATCGCTCCTGTGCTTCCGACTTGAGGCTGCACGCGGTCCCCATGCAGGCTCAACGTATCGGTACTGCTTTGTATCTCATTCCACGTCTGACTTACCCTTCCAGCCGCTTCGTATTGGTCGCAAGAAGAGCTGCTGGCTGCGACTTGTGAAGGACTTGGAAGTGTCGACCATCCATGCCGAGTTTCGTTTTCTAGACGCTGCAGCCGGTGAGACCAAAGTCGCTCTTTGCGACTCGAGTAGCACGAATGGTACGAAACTAAACGGTGAACTACTGGAGCCTCAGCAGGACTATACACTGACCCACGGAGACCTGATTGCAGTCGGAAGGACGGGTCTGCGCTTCGTGCAGGCTGAACATGGCCAAGTGTGTGGAGTCGAGGAAGGACCTTCTGCTGCAAATATCATGCAAACGACTGGTATTCTCGTATCATCTCCAATAGCGCCATCAACACGAGCTCCTGTGGTGCTTAAAGAGCTGGATGATGAAAAGGTGGGAGATGCTTGTGCTCTACCAGCGCCGGCGGTAACCTCAGCATTGTTACAAGCGTCAGCACCTGTTAACAAATCAAGCGTTGAGCAACCTGAAACTGAGCCAGCTTCGGGTATGCTGATTGTGAAAGAACCGCTAACGAGCGTGGCGTCAGAGGTTCATTGTGACTCAGGCAACCTTGAAGAAGTTGGTGTTGACGCGAGTGTCGAGAACGTGGCAGCAAGTGGAGGTGAAGTTCAAAGTGTAGGAGTGGAAGCGCACACTCCTGACGAAGCTACGTGCACAACGTGTAATGGGATGATAGGGCGGCTGAGTATACTTGAACAACAGGCACACCATAATGCGTGTCTTGGTGGCCGTAATGCAGCTGCACTTCCCACCAAGGCTTTTATCACGAAAAATGCAACGCCAAGATCTCGCAAACGAGCAAACACTGCAAGCGGTGTCGCCCGTGTCGTCAAGCCAGCCAAGCCGAAAGTAACTAAAGGTAGTGAGCGCATCGTTGCAGCTGCTACCAAGACCAAAAAGTCGAGAAAGCGAAAGCGAACAGATGCCGCAGAGGATATAGTGCTGGCTTTCGCAGCAGCAGATACCCCAAAGTTGGACAAAGAGCAGCAGACAGACTTGCGGCTTGCTGCGACGAAGAAAAAGCTCGCGCAACTTGACGATCAAATGACAAAGCTGGCTAAGCGCCGCATTAATCTCGTGAAGACAGTGGAAAGGCTGGAGAAGACGAAAGACAAGTTTCGAAAGTCACAGGTCTTACCCCCTGCAAAGGTGGTTCAGCTGCTGGATCTGAAGTCTGCCTTGGACGTCATTTTCCCGAGCGACCGCCGAGCCGGAACAATCGATCGGCGCGTGTACAAATTACGGGCAAATTGCACTTCAATCGTATCGAAGAAAATCACGCCGTCTACGTTGGAACAACGTGTGGGTAATAGCAACTGCGACAATGACTTGCGAGCTGAACAAGCTGCAGTGGCTGCAATCTCCATGTGGTCACGTGCTTCGCAACAGCTTTTTGGGCTAAAGTGTGATGCACTTCTGTACCGCAACAGCGTTCTGCGAGCATTTGTTGGACATCATAACAGTGCTGACAGTGGCAGCATCCATGCGGAAGCTGTCGATTGTGTCGACAGCGGATATGATAAAGCTGTCGCTACTGATTGCGAACGAGAGCACGGAGACAAGGCTCCAGAGCTGGTAGATGTGCCTTCCGCTACCATCTTGGAAACAACACGAGACGATCCGAAGGTCCCGGACGCCGTGAAGCGCGTATTTCCAGACTGGCAACGCGATTTAGCATTTTTACGTGCTCAGACGGTCGCCGATATCGGAGCGGCTCTTGAGACGCTGAAGGATGCACAGGTCGAAGCTGACGTCGCAACGCCCAGCAACAGCGAAGCGAGTGAACAACTGGACAGTTCCGAAGAGAAGAACGACACTGACAACCGTGGAAGTGATGCATCAGCTTGTGTTGGTGCCCAAGACAGCACCGACAAACAAGTAGCGTATGACTACATGGCGCAAGTGATGATGCAGCTGATTACCGCGAAACAACCGCTTCAAAGCGCCGTTAGCCCGGCCAGAAGTGACGCCACTCTCGGGTCCACAAAAGCTTCAGTATCCATTCAGACAAAACCGCTGAGCGAGTGACTCCGAACGTGGCTGCAGCTGGCCCGACTCAACCAACCAACCAACCAATCAATCAGTCAGTCAGTCGCACCCGACGCCTTTTTACGGCACGAGAAATCATCCACGAGCTCATCTGGAACTCCGGACCCCATTGAAGCTCAACGACTGCGACCCGACGCCTTCATCTCGAGCTGCTGGTCCCGATGCAGTCGCGGTCTACAGCAGAAACCGCCAGTCGCTCCCTCCTCCGCCTTCTCTTGACGTGCGCAGCCCTAAGAGCTGCGACGCTCACGGCCGTTGAGGTGAGCGTCTGTCGGGACGCGACGTATGAACTCGCGATAGACGCCGCGTCTTTGTGCGCGGGCGCAGGCGCTGAACCCGCTGGAAGGCACTGCCCGAAAGCAGGCGACGTGGCAGTTGACGACTGTCGTTCGGCCCTTCCGTCGTTCGCGAACGGACGCTGCGTCTCGCCTGAAGACGCGGTGTGTCAAGTGGTGAACGATAACGAGACGTGGGGCTGCGTGCTGCCCTCTGTGGGCTGCAATCACACGGAAGTCCAGTCTGAAGCGACAAGTCGGTGTGAGACGTGGGACTTTAGCAGCAATCACTCGACGGACGGCGTCGAGGTGCTCGAGGATTCTGCGCGAGACCGGAACGAGAGCTGGTTCAAGAAGACGACAGAGCTGCGGGAGCTCTATAAGTGCGGGGAGCGACCTACCCCTGCACCTACGAGGAGAGCTCACAGGAGGAAAGTGGACAAGACGGAGACGAACAAGAGGAACCAGACGACGACCATGTCTTCTGGATCAGGGGACAGTGACGATGTAGAACAAGAGGCGGAGGTGGAGGTGCCGGTGAAGAAGGGGACGGATCGAGATGTGGTGGAGACAGAGGCAATGGAAGATACAGAGGTGCAGAGTACGACGCTTACTTTAGCGCCGAAGTTTGCTGCGACGGTAGCTCCGAGTCTGATGCCAGGGTCTTTGGGATGCAACGGGCCGCAAAGTGACGAAGATGACGAAAATGTCGAACAAGTAGATGAACTTGAGGCTGGACAGGAAGAAAGCGCGGCGGGGCACTTCACAACGGTGACTTTTGCAGCTGAAACTGTTTCAAGCTTTGGAAGACTAAGCGATGAAGTGCTGGCAGCGATTGCAGCAGTGGTGGCCGTTGCTGCTGTTGTTGTGACTGTTTTTGCGGTGGTCATTGCAAGGAAGAGACGCCGACTGGAAGGTGCGAAGGAAGAGGGAAGTGCGGATGTCGGGGACGCCGAGGATGAGGCTGAAGGGGAACATGATGGCGATGAGAAACATGAGAGCGAAGGCATAGACGACAGCAGTGAGAAGGTCGAGAGCGATGGCAAAGGTGACGGCAGCGTGAAGGACGAGAGCGAAGTCGATGCCGACACGAGGGTCGAGAGTGAAGGCGACAACGTTGGAAGTGAGACGCGTGCATTCTCTCTGCTTGTCCCGCCGACACCTGCAGTGTTGCCGGCTAGACTAGCAACGACGCCTGTATTTGCTGGTGCAAAGGCGAACGTAGCGACGACGCCAACAGCAACAACACCTACAGTGGCGTCCACAGCTGATGACCTTCCTGCCACGACGTCGGGCGACCATGCATTTGAAAGCATCCAAGATGGAAGCGGGGACAATGAAGGTGGCGAAAGTGCATTGGCAGGTTCGTCCGACACGGGTGAATGTTGTCGCCACGACGCATAACCTGATCTGCATTCGACCTGAAAACGCGTACTTGGCGAAGCAGCAAAATCGTGGGGCGACCACAGCGTGGTGTGCGTGCGAGCCTTCACTGATATCAATAATTGGCCATGCTTGTCGATGCCCGTTGACTGGAAAAAGGTGATCTGCACTGGCCGCTTGGACGATGTCGTGGATTGACAACAGGATGTCATTAATTGTTGTGGGAATATGTTTAAAACCGCGTTGGCAGGCACAGTTTGAGTCAGAGGTCCTTTCGTTGTTTGTAGTCGAAGGTTTGTCACCTTTGTGAAGAGTGAGCCGGAATAGCTCCCGATTGTCATCGACCCGTTTTAATTCTTCAGGTGGAGAGCTCTTCTCGCTTACAAAGTAAGCCAATTCCGATCATGCTTCTAGCAGGTATGATCTAGTCCTGCGGTGCATGTCACTATCCTTTATTTATTCCTGACTCTCGCATCGTTCTGACGTAGTGATAGTTCAGCTTTCGGCTACGTGGGGACTGCCTCGACAGAGCCTTAGCCCGTGACAAGCGTTGGAATGAAGACACTGCTTGATAAACCGTGCGCACACTCACTGATAGCTTCGCCCTTCAAGCTCGCAATCAATATTGTCGTAGGCATGCGCATATCGAACCACTTACACGTGCTACTACTGTACAAAAGCTGTAGCTCTTGCGGACGACTACGACCCCACTCTAGCAGGTGATTTGGGGCAATAGAAGTAACAGGATTGTCACGTTTCGCTTGCGCTCACTCGGGAATACCGTTTAAAATGGACGAAATGGAACCGCGCCTGCCGTTGCGATGAGTTGTGGTGGAGGGACGTGCACCGATGCAGCTGTTACCAGTATATATATCGCGTCCCCGCCCATATCGTCGATCTCCACGCAGCTTTCTCTCAGGCACACTTTGGCTGCGTAAGCGGCTTATGGATGGCAACTCGTCGTGTCGCGGTATCTTAATCGGCGGAGGTTGGTGCGCATGGAGACCGAATGACGGTTTGCGTTTCTTTGTTCGGACTCTGTCACGTCCCGTGAGCTTATTTACAGAAGCTTTACCTGCTGCTTTGACCCCTTTTTGTGCTTTCCTGACCTTGACCGATTCTATCCCTCCATTCTCGTGGGACTTCATTCCATTCTCATTTGATCCGGCTTGACCCACGATCTCGTCCGTCGTTAAAGCAGTGAGTAGTTCATTCCTGATCTCCTTAGACAACACCTTTTCCGTTTTAACAGGCTGCTGGAGGACTTCACTTCGAGCCTTGTGACTCTTTTCGTTCGGATTTTGAATCACTGTTGACAGTTCTTCGCGCAGTCCCGCAATTTGTGCCAGGAAGCGCTTGCGCTCAATAGTTGCAGCAGTACTTGACAGTATTTGCAATGACGAGATGCGATTCACGAGACTGCGAATACGTCGATGTGGCCAGCGCACGAGTCCGTTGCGTCGACATATCTTCTTCATCAGTGTGATGCACACACCCAGTTCCTTGGCAACCACTGCCATTGGCTTGTTAAAGTGCGGACGCAACTCATTCAGCGTGAGATTCTTCACGTTACCCGCGCCGCCAGTGTGCAATTTGGGTCTCACATACTGCTTTGTCAGGCGTGTTGGGCTGCCGTTCGGTGCGAGGAACATGCTCAGATCACCTGACACCATAATATCACTTAGATTCACTGCCGTGGGTGTCGTAGAAAAGCCAGGATTGGGTACGGATCCGTGAGCCGGCTGCTGCATCATTACCGGATAAGGAGTCATGAAGGCTGGCGTTCCTGATACGGACAGCAGGGATGAGACCCCAGAGTCGTGGATCGGCGACATTTGAAGCGGTAGACCAGGTTCCAGTGGCTGATCCAGCAGCTGCTGATGGTGAGGGTGCTGGAATTGCCCATGTTGATGGCCTTGGAGGTGCATACATGGATGCATCACGAGCGCCGTTCCCCCGGGCATGATCTCCATGTGGAGGGATCCGGGGGGAGGGGTCCACAGCGCGTACATGTTCGGAGGCGCTTCATAGGACCAGGTATTGGCCATATATCGAGCATCCAAGTGCAAATCTCTAGGGGACGCGGGCAAGATGACCGAGTCGCAGCTCAAGCTCGAAAGATCGTGGCCCGGATCGGGCAGCGCTGACTCTTCCAGCGCTGACTCTTCCCCCGCATATCCACCCGCAGGAGTCGGCACAAAAGGGGACAAGAAGGACGCGGGTGTCGTCCCTTCTTTGCAATTGGCATCCCCGGGCGTCGCGAGCTTTGGCTGGAGGGGGCACGAGGCGGCGGGCCACATCCCCTCGGACCTGGGGTTGACCACGACGTCCACCGGTGCTCCAAGCGGCTGACTCTCGTCCAACATGTAAGCGAGAACCAGCTCCGGTGCCCGGTGCTGCTCCATGTCAGCTGCCGTCGAACGTTAGTCGAAAAAAGATCTGCCACTTGGCTGGAGAAGATCTCGCACGTCGCACGTGACGAGGGGAATGGCACACACACACACACGTCCATGCGGGGGTGCAGGAGGAAATTATCGACGAAATCTTTGGCCGGCGTGGACTCGTTTTCGCACATTTCGGTCCCGAGAAACGGGACTTGACTTGAGTATGCGCGGCGGTTTCGGTGCTGTGCTTGCGCCCCGCTGATTGGCTCACGACGCTTGTGGCAGCAGATGGGGGGGTGGAATTTTTTTGAAAAAGTCGCTTTGGAGTTTTTAGAATCGAAACTGTAACGCCTCGTATCCACTTTTTGTCCGAACTCTGCCCCGTGACGACAAAAAAAGAGCATCTGATGGACCTGCGCCTTTCGTCCACAGCCCACGAGCGCGTTCGTGGATTGTGCGCGACACAAGTCACGGGCCTTTCCCCACCAAACAGGCCAGTTCGTTCGTATGCTCTATAATGGGTTTGAACCACCGGGACAAGCAACACCTTCCCCCTTCGTTAGAACACGATGTTACGGCATAATCATTCGGGATGCCGTCGCGAAACGTGATGACGATATCTCTCGGGATCTCGTTTGTGTGCGAGACATCCTCGGGTCAACAAAGATGGGAGCAGACAAGAGGTGACAGCCGTGCGTAACACAACCACCATCGAATCTAGTCACGCTAAAGCCGCTGCGTCGTCGTAGCGACGAGGGCACTTTGATTACAAACCCTTTTTTCGAGTCATGCTGGCAGCAGATGCTGGTCGGGTAGCTTGACCCGAGCGTCATTCATTGAATGCGCTCACCCAGATCATCTACACGACCACCGGAGCTCGCCTGGACGGACACAACGCCGCCATTCTTCTGTCATTGAAAACTGTTGAAGACTCTCGGTCCGTGCAAGCTCGGGCGGATGTCAACCCCTCGACAGACATGACGATCGGGGAGAAAAGCCGCGACCTCGATGGTGTAGTTTGAGTCTCCTGCACCTGCACCACGTAACCTTTTTTTTCACCTCCAGTGTTGCAGATGGCGGTCCCTGGGTCTTCATAGCACACAATATCTTGTGCATTGCTGACGACGGCATGTCAACCGGCACCTCAAGGCGAACGTCAAGGCGTTTGATGTCGACCATGAACGTCACGGATCAACAAAGCAACGTAACGCTCTCAACATCATGACAAGCTGCCTCAGTAAACCAGCGATTCCCTGTCTCTGTCCATTTGCGTGACTCACGCTGTGCGGTCTCGAAGCTAATGCATGTGTAACGTCGACTCTTCCGCGTCTTCATCGTCGACTAGAAGGGAGACCCTCCTCAGAGCACCGTACGTCATTGAAGCCATCGATTTCCTACCCCTGCCGCCAAGCGAGACACGAGTCCTCTGCTTTCCAAGACTCAATCGCATTGCGACAAGTAGACGAAGCTGAAAAATCACCGCTGTCGTCAGTGGAAATCGTGCCGCCGCTTCACTCCCCTACTACTTCTTCCTCTTCCCCAAGTGTTTACATCAACGTGGTCCTCCTGGCTGCTACATGTCCTGACAGAAAATGTCCCAACGACTCAATACGAGCTGCTGAACTCTCGGAGTGCTCGCTGCAAACGAGGCGCCGACACGGCCACTCGTCGCAGAAACGAGTCCATCAGTTCGGCACTCCCCTATGGCGACGCTACACATCGACTTGACCTCGTTCTGCCGGCGGCACAATAGGGACTCGCCCCTTCTTTCACTGTCTCACCCTTGTCAACCTGCTCCAGGGCGTCATCATTCCTGATTCCCATGCCATGCGCAGTGGCTCCAGCGCTGGTCGCTCCCTCTCCTTCTCCTTGCCCTCGTCCTTCACTTGCAGCGAGCACAAGAGCGACGACGACTCCAATCCCTCCGCCCGTTGCAACGTCAATAACAACCACAACCATAACAACCCACGACGTCAAGCTTCGAGTGCAGCAGTCCCACCATCACCAGCCGAAGATCAAGTTATTGAGCTCTCCGTGTCATCCGAAGAGCTCCTTCGCTGGAGACGACGACACCAGCAGCAAGCTCAGACTGAACCCATGCCATGGCCTGGTCGAACACGTAGCGTCTTGCGTCGATACTCTCCGCTGGTCCCGCCTGTGGCGCTTCTCATTGCCTTGGTGGTACTTCTCGTGCAAGATCATGCGTACGGTCTTGATCCACCAGGTTGGTCCGACCCCCAATTGATGCACTGGACTTCGTGCTCCCTGGACAATCCGATTGCAACTGCGAACATCCTCTCGGCGCAATGCGCGACTTTGATGATGCCTTTGTGCTATGAGGGCGCGTGCGAGCATGAAGAGGACAATGCGACCATTGCCGTGTCGTTCAAGCGCATTGGAGCGAGCAACAACAGCGTGAGTACGCGGACGCTGTGGTTCTTACCCGACCGACCCGACCTTCAGACGCGGGAGGACGTGGAGTTGCAAATGACGCTGCTGTTCGAAGATCTTGGTCGAGACGTGGACATCTACACGCTCGACATGCGTGGGACGGGGAACAGTACCGCTCTCGCATGCAGGTCACCGATTGACGAGTCGCCATTGCAGACTGCCATTTTCGCACGAAATAACGGCGTGCTTGACGTTCGTGATGTCCAAGTGTGTGTCAACACTTTGCGCGACTTGGGGTACTCGGATCTCGGTGCGTTTTCGTTAGCGAGTGCTTCTCGAGACATCGAAGAGGTTGTTCGTCGATTTCAGTCGAATTCACAGACCATTGTGTATGCGCTTGGCTACGGATCACTCGTAGCACAGCATCTCATGCATCGGAACGTCTCGCAAGTCCTCGGATATGTGCTCGATGGAGCACTGGGAAGCTCTAGAGGTGCAACTGACTCGGCAGAACTGCGATCCGTCCCATACAGACTATCAAGAAGCGACGAAGACTTTGGCGAGGTCGCTGCGGACTTCTTAGCATGGTGTCAGCGTGACGGAAATTGCTCCATGATGTTCTCAAACATGACCTCGAGCACGACTATACGAGCAAGACTTGTTGAAGTGTACTCCCGACTTGATACTGATGCGACTTCCATGTGCGCTACGATTCTCACGGACGTCGAGACAAGTAGACGCGGCAATTCCGCCACGAGTACTGGTACTACTCCTCCATCGTATCTGCTGCGTCAACTTCTTGGATTGATGACAAAGTCTAAGGTGTTGTGGCCGTTCATTCCTGTCGTGGTGTACCGCTTCCTTCGTTGCGGTGCCGAGGATCTGTCGCTCCTCACTCGCTTCGTAACTTCTACCTTTGCGGTTGACGCTAATGCGAACACTCCGGACCTGCTGTATGCCATCCAAGCCTTCAGTGAGCTATGGGAATCGCCTTTGCCGGACCAAGTTTTGCTAACCGAACGGTTTACTAACCAAACGATCAGTTCTGGTAGAATGTACACTCAGCTGGAGGCTTCCTGCTTGTTCAGGGGCAGCACCTCTGACGCGTGCCTGACAACTTCATCATCAACGTTGTCACGTCTTTCGCCGGTCGGAGGTACACTTTCATACGCTGTGAAGCCAATGAATACCAGCGCGATCGCGCTATCGTCGGCCAGCGTACTTTTGCTCAGTGGAGGACTGGACGTGGTCTCTCCTCCCAGATATTCATCAGGTCTCTTCGACTCGATCCAGACAGGAAACAAAGCGCTGCTTGTGGCTCCATTTAGCTCACATGGTGTGGTCCAGAACGCTCTCTCGTCAAACGGCAAAGCTTGTGGTCGTCAAGTGCTGGCGTCGTACATTCTCGCCGGCGGTAATCTGAGCGCGTACGATGCATCGTGTATGGCCATGTTATCAACGCCAAGTCTCGCCATCTCCCAGACCTTGAGCCAGTTGGTCCTTGGTGTCGACGATGCGTACGACGGGATGCTAGTCAATAATGGCAGCAGCATCAGTATCAGCAACAGCAGCAAGGCTGGCGTCTATCCAAACAACGGCAGTCGAGACGGTTCGACAGCCTCTGGCTCGACGCTGGACGAGCTACAACAGCAGATTACGACGCTGGAAGACTCTCGACAGCGATATGAAGTTGCTCTCATTGTTGTGGCGAGCGTTCTCGGGGCAGTCTTGGTCGTGTACGCAGCGGTAATGTTCTACCGGCACCGTCAGAAGCAGCAGCGAACCCGCGATGATTTGGCCACGCTGCGACGCATGCGCGGAGACGGAGACAGCGAAGTTGAGCTCATGGGGAGCGTGTATTTGCTCTCGACTAGCCCCAGAGGAAATCAGGAGCAGACGCAGATGGCCGAAGACCGCGCTTGGTCCGGGTGAGGCTGCATCCACGTATTTAACAAGTTAGTAGAGATAGGAAGGTGGTCAATAGACTGGAGCTCATTTCCGATCGAGGCGTCGCGTCTGTTGATGGGGTTTGCACACAGGACTGCGTGATCATCGTACGAGTGACGCTTGGCACGCCAAGTTCAGAGCGCGACGCTGCTGCTGCTGCTGCTGCTGCTTCTGCTGCTTGATGTGTTCCAGTCTTCCGTTGCTGCTGCTGCTGTGAAAGGCTCGGACGGAGTTTTGCTACTGCGTTTGTGTGCAACAGGGTGGTCGCAAGCGAGGCACGTCGTGCGAATGCGTGGAAGTGACGGACACAGTCGCGCCTCTTGAACAAAGTCGGCAGCGATCCAACGGCATCGAAGTTGAGTAAACAACCGGAGCTTGTCCACACGGACGCGTGGATTAGTTTCAAGCGCCACTTTGAACTCGGAATCGACGAGCGTTGCATCAAGAATCGTCAAGGCTCTTGATGCTCATGCAGCCAGCACAAGGGACAATAGCATTGTGGCTCGTGCACTCTGAAGACGTCGTAGGAAGGAAACTGCCCGACGCGACTGACTACTACCGTTCCGGTGTGGCATCTCATCTCTTCCGACAGCAGATCGATCCAATGGCAAGAGATTTGTCCCGCGGGATCCCATCCTGAAGATTGTGAGCTGCTCGGATCCGGTGCCTGCCTGGCTTCTGAAGCCATAGGAACGCGACGGAAAAGCTGGTCGCTTGGTGCGACAATCACCGAGTCGAGCGGTTGTCCTTCCGTCAAACTCGCCTGAAGCGGTTGTAGCAGCGACCTTCAGGTATCCATCCTCCCGGTCCCATTCCGTCGCCCCTTTCACCCTCAAGATCAGACGCCACTTTTGAAACGCGGTGCAAAGCCGCAACAGCTCCGGGTCGAGCGACGTCCGTCCGTATTTGCTCGCTATGATGGCGTGGCAAGAAGAGCCCGACTGCCACCACCGCAACGACGAGTGGCCAGGCACGGAGCTCCTGAATCCCGTCAGCTTTTTCGCTTCCGACGGCAGTGACGAACGCGCTCAACGCGGCGCTTCCAACTTTGCGACTGTCAGTCACGACGCCAGTCAAGCGGGACTGACGTACTCGGCGTCCTGTCCCTCTCTCTCGGAGCTGGACGACGTGGATGTTCTCATGGGAGGGACAACAAATGGTGGCCAGAGTCTCGTGTCGTACCCATTTGGGGCACAGGAATCACCGCTTGTGGACGGGATACTGGACGCTCCGTCGTTTGCTGGGGACAAGAGCTTGGAGATGCTCCTGCAGTTCCAACAGGAGTACCAGAACGTGTCGCAGCGTCAGTATCCACATCAACAAGCGATGATGGGCCACCAACCGATGGATCTGAGGCCGCAGGCTCGAGGAGGACGGCGTGGCATTCACAGCTCCCAGTCGTTCACGAGCTTATCCAGTATGGAGGCTGATTACAATCGCATCCACGGTGCGTGTCGTTCGTCCTGAAAACGTTTCTATGGTTAAAAGTGGGCTAGGCCGCTCACTCACTGCTGGTTGCAACTGTGGTTGTGACGGATGCAGCTCATCGAAAGCAGAAGAAAGCAAGTGAGCGGTGGATAAAGCTGCAACGTCACAAGTCGTTCGACTCGACGGTGCCTATCACAGAGCCAATGGACTTTGACCCCAGTGCGTTTGTCGGAGGGACCTCAATGAGTTCGTCCAGGTTAACTCCGGACCAGCTTTTGCAAGAGTACGTTGGTATCGTGTGGGGATCGTTCATATCGAGTAACTAACATCATGATGATTAAAACTAGGCCGGTGGACGACGACATGGTCGGGTATGATGTAGACGACGCCTCATCCCCGATGCCTTCGGATGACCCGAACTGGCCTCCGCTTGCTTATGCGTCCACGACCAGCTATAGTGGGGATGATTATATGCAACAGACGCCACACAAGCACCTCCAGCAACAGCAGCAGCACGATGAGTTGCAGATCCTCAGTGACGCTGGTGTTGATTTTTCCTCGTCGGCAAATGTTGAACCTGTGTCGGAGCTGGACATACTGCTGTCCGATCACGAGCGCTCAACCCTTTTTGATGCTATCCGGGACTTCGACTTGCCGTGCGGGTTGAAGTCGGTTGATGTGCAGCTCTTTCCAGAACAAGCTCAAAGCCCTACACAAACACAAACGGCGATTGACACGAAGGAGGTCTCCGATGCACTTTCAGCTGGCGCAACAGAGACGACAGGCAGTCCCTCATTGTCCCTTGATGAACGGACGAAAAGCACGGATGAGGCGTCAGGACTAGTCTCGCTCGATTCAACTTCCTCGACACCTCCAGCACGACTGCCTCCTTCTGGTTCTATCCCGATGCGCACGCGCCTGCATCAGATTCTGGTGCTTTCTGTGCAAAACACGGATGCTACATCGTCGCTGTCGTCGTACGAGCGAAACTACTTGACGCAATCGTCGTTATTTTTGCCAGCGAAGGCGCCCGAGACAGCAGGGTCCCTGTGGTTATTACTGCACGCCGCACAGTGCGAGGCCGAGTGTGAGATTGCAGACTGTGGCGTCATGCGCCGTGTGCTGAATCATTGTCTGGGGTGCGAGCTGATGGTCGGCAAGTGCAAGCAGCCCTGTAATGACGCGAAGGCTATGCTCCTCCACTACGGTTCGTGCAACAGCAAGGGAAGCATGCACGGACGGTCCTGTTCCGTGTGTTGGAACCTGCTGGAGATTGACTATTCCCACCAAGCGCTGAGTAACGGCAACAGCGGAGACCACTGCAATAGTCACTCTCCAAGCTGCCCGCCGTTGTCGTTCGCATCTTCATCGACTTGTCCGCCATTGTGCACGCCACCAAGTGTACCCATTCCCAGCAGTGCTCCTGTGGACGACCGCTCACCCGCGTATCGTTCGTCACCTGGACGCTCAACAAAGAGTCTTGGTACCTCCAAGCACGTGCGTATCCAGCCGAATCCGCTTCCAACGGCCTCCAACCCATTGGGGCTACTTGGCTCATTGCCACAACAGCTCGGGCACTCTCTTTCGTTGTACCTAGAGCAGACGTCGGCTCTGTTTCGGGCCGAGGTGAAGACCCGCATCGAGAAGCGAGTGACTGCTGCTGCGGGCCAAGATTTGCTGCAGCACATGCAGAAGAAGACGCGGTTGCGGAGCTTGGACGACCTTCGCTCGGAAGCTCGGGCCGTCGTGCTGAGGGAGATGGAGCAAAAGCTGGTTCTCTACATGCAGGCGTACAACTGGGCCAGCTCGTCAGCCGAGGAAAGCGTTCGGTCAGGAGCATCGCAACTGCCTCCGTACTTGAGGCACTTCTCGGCCGCTGCTTTCCACGCGCAGCAGCAGACGTCATCCCAGGCGGAAGAGCAGGTCCCGGCCCATTCTTTGCCACCAGTGGGCGGCTCTCGACCTCCTGATTGTTATAAATTTGCTCAGCGTGACCCTCGGCCCAGCAAAAATGTATAGAGTTTCAACGAACGAGCTCTTCAGATAAGTTGACACGCACGCTTTGACCCCGAGCGTTTAGTTGTTTAAACACTCGAACTAAGTACGAATTATGAGGAGAACATCCGTCATTTGTTAAAATTAAAATGGACCAACCACTATAAAACTATCTTCTTATTGGCTAAAACCACCCGAGGCGTCAACTGTCAAGATGCTCCGACCAACTAGCACCTTGCGAGCTGCTCGTCTGACTCGAGCTCTAAGCGCTTCGTGTGGCTCGAGTCAAGAGTATGACTATCTCGTGATTGGTGGCGGTAGTGGCGGCATTGCAAGCTCGCGTCGTGCCGCTAGTTACCCTAACACACGCGTGGCAGTCGTAGAGCACGCGCGATTGGGCGGAACCTGCGTGAACGTGGGCTGCGTGCCCAAGAAGCTCATGTACCTGGCAGCAGACATGAGTCACAAGCTGCAGCACGATGTGGCGCATTATGGATTCGAAAACGAGGGGCCAGGTGGCGTGTCAGGGGCGCAGATGCATTTTGATTGGACGAAACTCAAGACTCGACGTGATGCTTATGTTCGACGTCTGAATGGGATATACGAAAGGTGGGAGAGAGAGGGAGAGGTCACGGTCACAAAAAGGACTTGGAAATTGTATGCTGTGACGAAGTTGCAGATACTTTGTTGTTCATACTGAGATGAGGATTGATTGGATGTGATTGCAGGAACCTGGCGAGCTCCAAGGTGGAGTTTATTCAAGGGTCGGCGAGGTTCAATAAGCAGGGAAATGTGGAAGTGGACGGCAAGGAAGTGCTGGCCAAGAATGTGATGATTGCAGTTGGAGGCAGACCAATGATTCCTGATATTCCTGGTGTGTTCTTTGACGTCGAAATGGTGGTGTACTACAATTGCTGGTCTAATGGAAAAAATGATGTTGTAAACGGACAGGCAAGGAGCTTTGTATCGACTCGGACGGATTCTTCGAGCTGGACACTCTGCCGAAAAAGGTCGCTGTTATCGGCGCGGGATACATTGCTGTCGAGCTGGCTGGCGTTCTGAATGCACTGGGCTCGGAGACGTCCATTTTCTGCCGCAAAGAGGGGGTGCTTCGCACGTTTGATGTACGTTCAAGGGGCCTCTGTCAAATGTGTAAATCCGCTGTGCGTAACTGCTGCTTCTTACGCTCTAGGATATCGTGCGTACGACGCTGGAAGATGCCATGGCGATAGACGGTCCGCATCTTCGACCTAACAGCAATGTTGCTCGGGTCGAGCAGGCAGCTGATGGCACCAATACATTGGTCCTGACCGACGGCTCGGCGCACTGCGGCTTTGACGTTGTGATCTACGCTGCTGGTCGCGTACCTTTGACAGACAAGCTTAATCTCGATAACGCGGGCGTGGCAACCGACAAGCACGGCTACGTTGTAGTAAATGAGTTCCAGGAGACGTCAAATAGCAAGGTGTTTGCTGTGGGCGATGTGTGTGGTACTCCTGCACTCACTCCAGTCGCTGTTGCGGCTGGAAGGAAGCTCTCGGACCGTCTATTTGGAAACATGAAGGATGCCAAGGTCTCGTACGAAAACATTCCGACGGTCGTCTTCAGCCACCCTCCCATTGGCACCATCGGCCTCACAGAAAAGCAGGCTCGAGGCAAATATGGCGACGACGACATTAAGGTGTACACGAGTCATTTCGTAAACATGTACTATGGACTGATCAACGAGGTGGATGAAGCAACTGGTGAGCTGAAGGAGAAGCCCAAGACGGCAGTTAAGCTCGTGTGTGCCGGCAAGAACGAGAAGGTCGTAGGTCTGCATATGATCGGCATGGCAGCCGATGAGATCCTGCAAGGCTTTGGTGTGGCAGTGAAGATGGGTGCTACAAAGGCTGACTTTGACAATTGCATTGCCATTCACCCGACTGCCAGCGAAGAGCTCGTGACGCTTGCGCCGTGGGGACTCAGTGGATATGAGTAAGCGAAATGGGTCTGCAATCTCGATTCGAAGCGCTTTGGTCTTCATTGAATACAGCGGATGAATGACACGACGTGGTGGAGCAGAAACTGACTCGTTTTTTGCATCGGAGGATCCCAGCGGATCCGACTTGTTGAAGTGACGGTTTTTCACGTTATAGTAGCCAGCGCCTCTTCAGTCGCGATGTCTGGCGTACGCTGAAATAAATGATTCAATCCAGCCATGAGCGAACGAAATAGCGCCGACTGGTTGTTGCACGATCGTCACGATCGAACGACGCAAGCCACAGTCGACCTCAACCCATACAAACGGATAAACTAACGATGAAACCGTGACGACAACACCAACAACAACCACGTCGACTGTCGGACGTCACACTTGATTTCACTATACCAACTTCAACATCCGCCGCCGCGTGTACTTCGGTCATTCGCGAATTTCGCCTCAACTCCCGCCACCCGCTCCCTCTACTCGTCACTTGTCCGGCTTCCTCCCGCTCTCCTCCTCGTGTCCATGACCAGCGACAAACGCCCGACGTCCTCAAGCAAACGCGCCCGCAGCCGTCGGAAACAACGCGCGGTGCTGCGCGCTGCCACTCGCGTCGTCAGCGCTTTCGAACCGACACCCGAAGGCGACAGAAACCGCGACACTAGCGACTTGAAGGGCGACAGACTCGAGAGCCAGGAGCCCCTCGTCAAGCCCAACACCAGCAGCAGCAGTAGCAGCGACGACGTGCTGGACAGCGGCCTCGTCTTTGTCTGTCGCCCGACGCTGCCGGACTTTTGCTCGCTCTTCGTGCCTCGAGACGACGCCCAGTCGGCCACGCGAGCTGCTGCAGCTTCAAAAGCAGTGACTTGCAAGACGTTCACAGTGCGCGTCCCGCGTTTTCGAGAGACACGCGAGGGCTTTGTCACGTACGTGCTCGAGGTGGCGACCTGCGACCTGCCGCAGCAGACGTTCCAGCTCGAGCGCCGCTTCTCGGACTTTGTCGCGTGTGCGGCGGAGCTCTCGAAGCAGCAGCAGCAGTGGCAGTGGCATCGTGCAAGGGAAGAGGAGGAGACGACGAAGCACGGGGACGGCGAGACTTTGGACGGGTGGTTTCAGTGGCACTTGCCAGCCAAGACGTGGTTCCGCGTGACCAGTCGAAAGGATCTGGAAGACCGGCGCGTGCAGCTGGAGCAGGCGCTCGAGATGCTGTTGCGGCAGCGCGACGGGTGCATGTGCAACCTCCCAGTCGTGCGCGACTTCCTCATGCTCGACATCTTTGGCGTGCAAGTCGCTGAGCAAAAGACTCTAGAGACGACTGCACAGGTGGAAGGGTGAGGACGACGACGACGACGAGGACAATGGGTGTTGCAAGGAGGCAAGGATGGCGAAGAAGGAGAAGGAAAAGCGTGCAGGGGACACTGCTTCTTACGAGACGACAAGAGCTCGTGCATGTCGTGCGTCACTTCATTCATCAGACACCCGAGTCGACGTGGTCGCCACCTTCCGACGCCACCGGCTGAAGACGACGCAACGAGTTCCTCCACTCGAACCCCCCGAGAATCAACACCACCAACAAAACCAACCACCTCCTCCCCACCCTCGACATCTTCCAGCACGCAAACACGCGAGTAACACGTAGAACCCCACTCCATCAAGCCCAATCCGTCCACGCAAACCACAATACAACACCAACAACAACAACACCAACCACCGTTCCCCCACCAAAACCCCGTTCCCACTCCCCTGTCAACCTCGTTTTCCACCCCCCCATCCAACCTGGGAGATATCCCTCCCGCCCATCCCTCGAACCCACAATCCGATTCACTCGCGCCAGCCAAAGCATGAGTGGCCCCCGTCCCCCCTCGTCGTCGTCGTCCTCCTGGGTCGTGCTCAAGTTCGGCGGCACGAGCGTGTCCACGGCCGCGCGCTGGCGCTGCATCTGCGCCCAGATCCGCGCGCACCTCGAGTCGCCGTCGTCCCCCCGCGTCTGGATCACGATCTCGGCGCTGTCCCAAGTCACGAACAAACTCACGCAGGCGCTCGCGCTCGCACAGACCCGCGGTCGGGGCCACCGCGAGCTCGCCCTGGCCGTCGCTGTGCAGCACTTTTCATTAGCCTTTGAGGTGGGGCTTTTCCCCGCGTCGCTCGAGGGCATCGAGAGCTGCTCGGACGTGCGGTCGCACTGGCAAAAGCTCTGGCTCCAGAGCGTCTGGGGACCCGAGACCGGCACGGATTCGTCGCTATTTGGCACGTCCACTATCGACCCGGAGCTGCCGCGGACGCTGCACCCGCTGCTACTGGAGCTCCAGAACCTCGTGCGGGTGCTGCAGGGCATCAAGTTGACGGAGGAGGCGTCGCCTCGGATCCAGGCGCGCGTTTTGGCGTTCGGAGAGCTCCTGTCGACGCACTTGGGGCGGTGTATTTTGATTGTTAATGGGCTTACGGACGTCGAGCGGGTGGACGCTCGGGAGCTCCTCGTGAGCGACTCGAGTCGGAGCAAGTCGGAGGAAGACCGGTACTTGCAGGCAGAAGTGCATCCCCGACGAGACGTTGACCAAGCAGAGACAGCTGCAATGGGGAAACGGGTGGTCCTCACCCAGGGGTTCATTGCCAGCACCAGTACAGGGGCTACGTGTGTGCTTGGACGGGGAGGCAGTGACACGTCCGGATCGCTCTTTGCAGCGCTACTGGGAGCTCAGAAGTATGAAATCTGGACGGATGTGCACGGGATGTTTACAACTGATCCGCGGTATGTACCGAACGCTCGGCTGATCAAGAGTCTCGACTATCGAGAGGCCCAAGAGCTTGCGGCTATGGGGGCCAAGGTCTTGCATCCACGCTGCATTATTCCAGCGCAGTGGGGGAAGATTCCATTGGAGATTCGGAATACAAATGACCCAAAGGGAGCGAAAACCGTGATCCATCCTGCTTCGGAGGCAGATACGGATGAACCGAGCAGTCCGAAGATCTTGGCTGTGGTGAAGCGCCAGAACATGACGACGCTCAGCATTACTGCCTTTGACATGTGCGGCACGTCGGGGTTCTTGGCCAAGGTGTTTGCTCCCTTTGAGGCGTGCGGCATTTCAGTGGATCTCATTGCGACGTCGCAGTTTTCCGTGACAGTGACGCTGGATCACATCCCCGGTGGCATCCAAGGCTCGCCGTTCCAGCAGCTGCTGGAATCACTCAATGTACACTCGAAAGTGCGTGTGTTTGAAGACTGCTCGGTGGTGTCGATCGTCGGTCGTGGTTTGCGCAAGGCGCTGGCAGAGCTTGGCTGCGTGTTTAACGTGCTGGAGAACTACGACGTGCTACTGCTCAGCGAGTCGGCGGAAGATCTGAACCTATCATTTGTTCTTCAGCAGAAGGAGGCAGACGACGTCGTCGCTCGAATGCACAGCTTCTTTTTCCCTGGTGAAAAACAGGATTCTCCGGCAGCAGCCAAGACCCCGGCAGCTTTGCCCCCTCTGTCTCCCCACTCGTCAACCGTGATTCCTACCGCGAAAGTGACGGCTCCAGCGCCGATCTCCACGATGTTTCAGCAGACAAGTATTCGCCGGTCACCTTCCCGTGATATGCTCTTCGGTCCCACTTGGCAGTCGTTACTGGATGCTACACTAGTGGACAAGACGGCGTAAACGAGATGAGCTTCGCTGGCTGATTGCAAGTTGTACCTCGACAGTTGTGTTTCAGATAGATAGATGGGTAGATAGATAAATCGATAGATAGACTGGACGTTGTTACTCTCAAGAGCATGTTTTCTACAGCACAGAAGTCGCGAAGTCCATTCACGCGTCACTATCACTTTCGTCGTAGTCTTCGTCTTCTTCCACCACCGGCAGTTGAGCTTGATGTATGGACGAGACACTGTCCTGGACTGGCAAAGCTTCCTTGCTCTGTAAATGTGGCCGCCCATCCTTAGTCTTTGCAGATGACACTTCAACTGCTTTTGCTATATTCTTGACCGTCTTCTTGGCTGTCGTTGTGGTTCTTGCCTTCTTACTTGACGACCTAGAAGAAAAGAACACACAAGCACAATCCAGAGACCATCTTCATTGAGATACTTCTGCGACTCCTTCTCAACTCCTTACTCACTTTTCAGCAGTAGCTGTTGGTGTCCGCTTCTTGCCACCGCGTCGTGTTGAAGTGGGGTACTTAACAGCACTCTCGTCAATAGCAGCCACTTTCTCATGCAGGAACTTGAGCTCTCCACTTGACAGTACACTTTTCTTTCTGGTTGTACAAATTCAGCGCATTAAACGACAAAATTAGACGAACAAAAGATGCTTCCCATGTCGCTACTCGATCCAAACGCCACGCACAATTCAATCGGCGTCAGCGCTTGACCTTCCACCGACTGCATTTGCATTTTTCTGGCCAAGTCTCGCACAAACAGCTGCACTGCTGATACTTTTGACATACCGCGAGCAAGAGTCAATTAATTGCCAGCTTCTTTTCGTCCTCATTTCAAGAGATGGCTACATTTAATTTACCGCAACCAGCCACGGCTGACTCCCCCACTTGACCCGTATCTTTTTGCTCCTTCAGCAGTCGCTTAACTCGTCCCTATGACACATGGTCATTGATCACGTCGTTAGTCATTAATACTGATACGACAGTCACACGTTGCAGCACGAACACAAGCGCTGGCACCTTGAGCAGATCGCGGTGCTTCATCGTCCACTAGTTGTAATTCGAGTGGACGCGAGTGGATGCTAGCTAGAGCAGTGTATGAATCAATCATTTCAGCACATACACTCACTCAAACGAATGTCACTGTACCGAAAAGATCACACCAATCGCTCATCACTGCGATTGTCAAAAAGCGGACGGTCAACAACCTCTGCTCTGTCAAAAACGTTTGATAATAAAAATAAACATGTTTCGCTTCCGCCCGCTGCGCTCAGCCCAACGACGTCGCCACTTGCGCGCGCTCTGGACGTCCACTCGTCCACTCTCCGCCGCACCCACGCCCACAAACGGTGACGCAGCGTTCGCTCTCGGTGTCAAGTATCTGCTGGGTAAAGCCAAAGGCCACGCTGGCTCCGCTATGGCCGTCCAGAATGTCGTACTCCACTGGACAAGCGCCGCTGAGATGGGGCACGTCCGGGCACAGGGCGCGTTGGGTACACTGTACCTCACCGGGTACGCGAACCTCCCGCGTAACCTCCCACTAGCTCTCGAGTTCCTACAGAAAGCCGCGGACGCTGGAGATAGCAAGAGCTGCTATGAAATGGGAAAGCTCTTTTTCCACGGCAGTCAGGACGAGGAGGACGAACGACCTCGTGACTTGAATCGGACGCTTCATTACTGGACAAGAGCAGCCGAACAGGGTCACGTCGCTGCTAACTTTGACCTGGGGCGTCTGTACGCAGAGGGGCTGCACGTGACTCAGGACCAGGAGAAGGCCGTCCAGTTCTATCGCCAAGCTGCCAAGCACGAACTGCCGGAGGCCCAATGGGCACTGGGTACCGCGTATCTGCTCGGACGCGGGGTGGAAACCAGTGCCCACCACGCCACCAAGTGCTTTCGCCGGGCTGCAGAAGCTGGACATGCACGGGCTCAGTTTGATCTGGCCGCGTGCTACATGCTGGGACGTGGCATCGAGCTAGATCACGACAAGGCCGCGCACTTTTTCTTCCTTGCGGCTGAGAGCGGCCTTGTCGAGGCGCAGTTGTGTCTTGCGCAGTTGTTTGAGACTGGTCGAGGGGTTCCCGTCAATCGTGACAAGGCGATCGAGTACTATCGGTTGGCAGCCAAAGGAGGACTGAAGGAAGCCACGCAGGCGTTGGATCGTCTCGGAGCACCACGTGAACCGTAGAAATTGCAATGCTGCACGTCCTTTACAAAGCAACAACCACGTACACTGCTGCAGTAAGACACACGACGCTAAAGTCCTCCGCTTATAAATTCCTTTTTTTGCTGAGCAGTCAATCATGCAGTCCGCCTTTGCATTTCGTTGTAGCGATCGCAGGATCCATCTGGACCAAGCCGGGTTGACTTGAAAACTGCTAAAGAGACGTCGAGTTCAGGGGTGACCGGTGACCACGGGTATGGCAGATCAACGACTTTATCGAGAAGCTAGCAACGGAAGCACAAGAGCACAAGATTAGTACACGAACTTGGTGACAAGAGCAGCGCGCGATTGCCGCATGCCACACGCACACAGAAAAAAAGCCATGACCAACGGATGTGCTGCTAGCAGGCCGCGGCTTGTGGCGCAAGGTTCTAAGAGAACCGTTCATGATCCCATACCTGGCTTTTTCTTCTGCTTGATTTCCGCCTCGGCCACGCTATGCAGCCGGATGACACTTGGCTGACTCTGGTTGTATTTCTCTGCACCCATGCACCAGTCATACGACAATGCGTACGCAAAGATGTCGCCACGAGCGTTAAATTTGCCCTTCGTAATGGACTGATTGCTAGAGTTCGCACACACGATTGCGTCGAATGTAAGATCAGTGTGCAGTCAAGCGTCCCACGTGGCAAGAGAAAGGCTAGAAAGCGAACGTACCACTTGCTGAATGTTTTGAGCTTTTGACGAGCGTCTTTGTCCCAGAAACAAAACGTGCCATCTCCGCCCGTTGTAGCAAAGGTACCAAAAGGATGGAAGGCAATACTGCTAACGGGGTAAATGTCTGACCCGTCGCGGTGACACTTGAATGCGAAGTCATTCCTGAGACCACACCGTGCCAATATCAGCAAAAGCGTTACATGAAGTAAAGTACAGTTAGCACAAGAGCAACAGAGGAACGCACCTCTTGTCCTTGTCCTCAACGTGCTGGACGGCGCAACGTCCCTCGATCGACCCAATTACGAACCCCGACGCGTCTGGAAAGCACGCGATCGCCCGCGTCTGAAACTTGAGATTGGACTGGATCGACTTGTAAATCTGCGATGGTTTGCGAATGTCAAAAATGTGCACTTGACGGTCGGCTGTGGCCACTACGAGCAGCGGGTGCTTCGCATCCATAGCGTAGCAGCGCTCCGACAGCTGCACGGTCGCCATAGCTGTTGGCGACCGCGTGTCCCAGTACTTGAGAGTCTTATCCCAGCTGCCCGTAGCCACGCAATTAGCTTCTTGAATCGCAGCGATACTGCGAATCGGCGCGTCATGCTGTCAACAAATTGACATCATCAGCATTAGTCCAGAATCCTTCTGCCCACACCCGTTTCTTTCATAGGAGAGCTTAGAAAAACTCTGCTCCTCTCTCTCTCTCTCTCTCTCTCTCTCACCGCAGCAATCTGCTGCCCCTGTGCTGGACCATTGAGCACCCACATCTTGGCCGTCTTGTCGCAAGAGCCCGAGAACACAGCACTGCCATCCTACTCATCATGTCACACATAAAAAGACAACATAGAACGACACAAACAAAGCGTAACCTCACCTTATATCAGTACTCCTCCAACCACCACCCATCAACCATACAATTCAAACCGTAGCACGACAAAAAAAGGCCAGCAGCCAGTTCACGTACGCCACTAAACGCTGTACAAAGCACGGGCCCGTCGTGCGCAATCTGCGCCTTGGCCACGGCGTTAAACTGCGTGCCTTGCTGCTGCACCTCCCAGCAGCGCACGTAGTTGTCCCAGCTGCCCGAGACCAAGACGTTACTCGTGGGACTCCAGGCCAGATCTTGGATGCCGTCGTTGATCGTCTCCCCGACCGTGTAGTCGTTCTGTGGGTTCAAGTACCCGCCGGGCTGGACGGCCTGACCAAACGACATGGTACGTTGGGGCTACAGCAGGAAGGAGGGGTACTGTTTTGGTACGTCGTGGGGTACGGTGTTTGGGCGTCGTGGGGTACGGTGTTTGGAAACGACGGGATCGAGGCCGGTGGTACCGACCGCTCGGTGGGTACGACTGGGGAAGCTGGGGCGATATCTGACCAATCGTAGACGAGTGGAGGCTCGGGGCATTTGAAGACGGATTCGTTTCTGATTGGGTGGGGGGTGTATGTCGCACGAATGGTGCTGGAGACTGCACAGATGTAGGATATTGTCGGAAGCGCCGCACATGTGCCAAGGTGTCATTGTAAAAAGTCACCTTGCTGACTGAGTCTTGTAAGATTAACAACAAGTAGAGCAGGCTGACTTTGCAGAGAAGGTTGTTGATCATCACTGAAGTGGCGGATTGGTGTAGTTGATCGTTATTGTAACGGGGTGAATCGTTACATAACAATTTATAAGAAATTGTTAATAGAATATAACTATAAGAGTTATATTCTCAGAATATTGTCATAAGGACAATATTCTGTAGCACTTCCAAGTAGTTCCTAATTGGTTGATATAGGCCATTATATCAACCAACGAAGACGCGCCACGACAGACGCACGCAATGAGTGGTGAGCAGATAACTGATTTACACATTTGTATTTAGACATAGTTAGATGAAGATAAATAGTGATTTATTGCAGACATTAACTATTATAAATACAGTTCTACTTTTACTCTAACCGAGTACTCGCTTCTTCTTACCGTCTTCCTCTGCACGTACGAGTGTACGTGAAGTTACGAGGCACCGCCTTATTCTGTTATCAGAATAAGTAGCTTGTACTGTCACCAGTACAAGCTTCAGGGTGCCCCGTTACACCTGGTAGCACTTCGTAGTCCGTCCAAGGACTGCGTTCACATCCAACATGAATATGTTGGATGATGAAGATGACTAAAGCTTTCACGCTACGCGTGACGGCTACTCCCATTTGAGCGATGTCGAATGGGATGCGGTTGAACGAATGGGTTCGACCATGGGCATCCATGCTGTTAGCGTCATGCTAGAGGCTCTCAATAGAGATGCCCAACATGCTACTATCGCCAAGTTCATTCAAAATGAACTTGACGCAGAACGCGAGAAAGTAGCCTTGCTTCACCAACAAGGTTCTCAACAAGCAGAGTTGTTGAGAGAACAAGGTGCTCAACAGTTTGAACTGTTGAGACAGCAGCAAGCTGCTGCTGGCGGGTCGATGCACTCGCGTCGACCCGAGACTTTGAAGATTGACATCTCAAAGTATAGAGGGGTCGAAGAAGACTCCCTCTTGAGATGGTTCGTCGAATTGGATGACGCCATAAGGGCGCGTCGCATCGACGACGGGGATATGCAAGTTGCATTTGCCCAGTCAAATCTGGCAGGACGTGCCAAGACTTGGGCACTGGGGCTCAAGCTGCACGACCCATATGCGTTTGGGTCGTTGGAAGTCTTCAAGTCGCGGCTCAGACAAACGTTTGAACCGCCTAGAGCTGAGTTCAGAGCTCGAACCGAACTCTTGAAGCTCAAGCAGGGTAAGCGTGATGTGCACGCTTACGCTCAACATATACGACATCTTACGAGTTGTATAAGTTCCAATCCAGTGGATGAACACACGTTGGTTTCGGTGTTCATGCAGGGTCTTGCGGATGGTCCCGTCAAGACTCACCTGTTCCGGCTTGAACTAGATTCACTAGAACAAGCCATTTCCATTGCGGAGCAGGAAGACTTCAGTCTGAGACAGGCTCGCGCCAGCTCGACATCATATCGTCAACCGAGACGATATGACAACGGAGGTCCAGAGCCGATGGAACTCTGTTATGTAGAGAGCGAGAAGGTTCGCTCTACAGGCTACAAGAAGTTGCAGAGATGCAACAGATGTCAGAAGACAGGACACTACGCTTACGAGTGTAGTGCCCCTCGTCCAGTGTCTCGCGACACTGGGCGTAGTGACCGTCCACCCATGAGAAAGGGGCAGGGACGAGGGTCCGCAGTTGGTGCAAAGACGCAACAACGGGATGGACCGTCAAAAAACGGACAGGATCAGTAGGTGCGGAGCACCCTACTGATCCAGCAACGTCAAGAGAATTTGTAGGCCTCTTGATGAAGGTTGCTCCCAACACACAGACATTGTGCGTTGCTGCTCTAGGTAATGAGATCTCACTCATTACCTTGAAACTCGAAGTGACGAATAAGTTGTCCCTTCGAGCCCTAGTCGATTGTGGGGCGTCCAACAATTTTGTGCGACGCCAATCGCTAGAAGATGGTCACTTTAAATTCAGTGAATGTGACACACCTCCTACGAGGATGACGGTACGTCTTGCGACAGGCGCATCCGTAACCGTCATGAAGCGTATAGTGAAGATTCACTATACGCTAGAAGATACCCAATATGACGATGACTTTATCGTATTGGATTTGGATGACAAATTTGATGTCATCCTTGGAATACCGTGGCTCAGAAGGTACGAACCACGGGTAAACTGGCAACATCGGACAGTAACGATGCCTGCCGCTTGTTCATCAGATGGCCATCTGATGAACGTTTTGGAGCGTCCACAAGCGTGTGGATGTACTACGAGTGAGTGCGATGGCCTCACTTGTGGTACGGTCGTTAGTACGACTGCACAAAACCTTAGTGTACCAAACGGTTACACTTCGGAGCAAAGTTCCGGCGGCTGTGAGGAAACACAGGCTGCGCCGAAGGTCCACCACTCGAATAAGTCGGGTGGACTGGGACAAAGATGTATCCCTAGAGGGGAACATCTAGAAGAGAAACAATCGATCGCTCAGGTTAAGCGAAACGATAATCCTAGATCGACTGGAGAGTCTTTCGTAGAGGATCTCGCTGTGGTTGCGCAACCCCAGCTAGAGGAAGTAAAGGGAATAAGTCCCAAGATTACAAATACGGCGGAAATAAGTTCCCCGAAACCCGCGGGAATAAGTCCCCGGGAAGACGAAGGAATAAGTCCTTCGAAGCCTGAGGGAATAAGTCCCCAGGAAATGACAGAGACATTGAATGTCATAGTCAATAACGGATCATGTGTAGGCGCTTATACACTTGATCTGATTGCGCCTCCGAAGTTAACTTCGGAGATCACTCAGTTGCCAACGCTCGAACATAAAAGGTTCTTGCGTGATCTGCGTAGTGGCAAAGTCAAGCAGATCTGCATACTCGTCGCTGACGACGAGTATGTAACCGACATAAGGTCAGCAACAGTGTTTACTGAGAACGAGAGAGTTCTCAGTAGTTCATCTATGGACGAGAGTGTCCTAGATGAAAAGACACGAATTGAGCGATATGAGTCCCAATCATGGGAATCGCTCAAGAAAAATCCTCTCTATGAAGATTTGGTTGAATTCAAGGATGTATTCCCTGAAACTGTTCCGTGCGAATTACCGAAGGATAAAGGTATTCGACACGAAGTCGAGCTTAAACCAGGCTCGAAGTACTGTGTCATGAAGCAGTGGCCACTGCCTCGTGAACAAGTACTTGCGATCGACAAGTTCTTTGCCGATCGTTTAGCAGCGGGCCATGTGAGGGAATCAACTTCCCCACATAGCTCTCCGACCTTCTGTGTGCGAAAAGCAACAGGAGGGTGGCGGATAGTGCACGCGTTCAACAAATTGAACGCTGCAACGGTACCGGCTCAGACGCCGATACCGAGGAAGGACGTAATCATTGATGGTATGTCAAAGAGTACCATCTTTTCGTCCATGGATTTGATGGATGGCTTCTATCAAATCCTAATGCGGGAACGGGATATACCCTATACCGCAGTTAGCACGCCTAGCGGCATGCTCTGGGAATGGCTAGTAATGCCACAAGGGCTCAGTAATGCCCCTGCCACGTTCAACAGATGTGTATCACATCTGTTGAGACCAGTACGAGAGTTCGCGCCGAGTTATTTCGATGACGTATTCATCCATAGTCGAGCTATGGATGGAAAGTCGGACGTTGAGGTTCACAGGTACCACGTCCGACAAGTTCTTACAATCATGCGAAAGCATCAATTGTATGCAAACCTCAAGAAGTGTATATTTGCAGCAAGCGAAATACCACTTCTTGGGTGCATCGTTGGTAAGAACGGTGTACGTCCTGATCCCGAAAAGATCAAGGCGATCACCGACTGGCCCGTGCCGGTCGATGTCAAAGGTCTTCGAAAATTCCTTGGCTAGCGGCGTATTTGCATAAGTATTCACGCAATTACGCCGAGATGACTGTACACCTCTCTCGTTTGTTGAAAAAGAACGAGAGGTGGTTATGGAACGCTGAATGTCAACGCTCCTTTGAGGGTATCAAGCAGAGCTTGATACAATCCCCAGTCCTAGCAATAGCCGATCAGGACAGGCCATTTCATGTGGTCTGTGATGCCAGCGATTTCGCAATCGGCTGTGCATTAATGCAGTACGACCTTGAAGGCGTTGAACGCGTCGTCTGCTATCAGTCGCGTCAGCTGCAACCAGCTGAGCGGAACTATCCAGTGCATGACAAGGAACTCCTTGCCATGAAGTATGCACTCGCGAAGTTCAGAGTCTATCTATTAGGAGATAGACCCTTCGTTGTTTACACTGACCATGCGTCCTTACGCACGGCAGTGAACAGCCCGCACCTTTCACAACGAATGGCGCGGTGGTTGTCATTCTTTGCAGAATACAACTTTACGGTCGAGTACAAACCAGGACGACTTAATGTCGTCGCTGATGCACTCTCACGTCGTCCCGACTTTGAAACAGTCGCGAAACCCAACAGTGAGACAGTCACTGTTGCGGTTATGACGTCCTCAGTTCCATCTACAACGTTGTATGATGATGTGAGGCGGGCATACGCCCAAGATGGTGAGATAGTGAAGTTGTTGTCACATCTCTCCCAACCATCTCGAGAATCGTTGAAACGATTGTCGTCTGCGTATCGATCTGCATCAGATCGATACACTACTCGTAACGGTTTACTGTATTATACAGCCGTTTCTGGTGACACACCACGTGTTGTCATTCCAGATGATACTGATCTGCGTTTGCGGATCATGTTCGAGTATCACGATGCTCCTATAGGAGGACATCGTGGCCGAGAGAAAACATATCTCACGGTAAGTCGAGACTTTTACTGGCCCCGCCAGTATCAGTTTGTGCGAAAGTATGTTCGCGCATGCGAAGTCTGCCAACGAGTGAAGTCAAGTCCTTCACTGCGTGCACCTTTACAGCCTCTACCGGTTCCGGCTGAGTGCTGGGAATCCATCTCAATGGATTTCGTCTTCGGGTTACCCAAAGACGCACGCGGGAATACGGGTATTCTCGTATTTGTTGACAGATTCAGCAAAATGGTACACCTTGTGGCTGTACCAGAGACAATCACGGCAAGTGGCTGTGCTTGTGTCTTTATTGACACCATCTTCCGACTTCATGGGTTGCCCCGTGAACTCGTATCAGACAGAGATCCACGATTCACTGCTGATTTCTGGCGTTCCGTGTTCAAATCACTCGGAACGCGCTTGAAGATGTCAACATCTGATCATCCAGAGTCAGATGGTCAGACGGAACGTGCCAACCGTGTCCTCGAAGAGATACTTCGAGGATACGTACACTCCTTTAAAAGTTGGAGTGAGTTTTTGCCAATGGTAGAGTTTGCCATCAACAACTCGGTGCATGCGTCCACGACACATACACCGTTTTACGTGAATGGCTTGCGCCATCCGCGTGTACCCACCTTACTAGAGTGTAACTCTGGTTTAAGGGGGAGGGACTCGCGCGAGCAAAAACCGATTTGGTTCACGCTCATCACGCTCTGACGAAGAAGTCATTGCGTTTGATGCCGATATCGATAACATCGATATCGAAGAAGATGATGCCAGTGAGAGTGCGGAAGCCCTCACTGAAGACAATGATCCCAGTGAGAGTGCGGAAGCCCTCACTGAAGAAAAGGTTGTTGTCGCTGCAGTGCGCTCACAGCACACTGAAGCTAACGAGTCATCAGATGAGTTCATACTGGCTCGTGAAACGGTAGTCCGTTTTGTGCAAGACTCCATCGCCGAAGCGGTGGATAAGCAAAAAGCAAAACGCTGACAAGAATGGAAGGGCAAACACTCTTTTATTTAATAAAGGTGACTTAGTCCTACTGTCTACGGTTAATCTACCAAAACATGTAGTGACTAACTTGGGTAGCAGTAAACTACTACCCAAGTACATTGGCCCATTTCGTGTATTGCACCGCCTAGGCAATGCATACACGATCGAGTTACCACGTAAGATGCGAACGCATCCCACGTTTTACGTTGGTCGGCTTAAGCCGTACCATCAGTACGCTGCTTCTTCCGATGAAGAACGCCCTTGCGCTCAAGCATCTCGCAGAGAGCCTTGTGCTCCCGATGGTGGGCATCAACAAGGGTCTGAAGAGCAGTTATCTCAGCCCGAGACCGATCAACAATCCCACGAGCTACCCTTAGCTCGTCACGAAGAGATGTCAGAGATCTCTCGTTCTCAAGCTGAGCAAAGGCAAACTCAGCTCGATGCTTCGAGGCAGTGTCCACCATCTGGAGACGCCTATTCCGCTCATGCTCGAGATCGTCGCGTAACCCTTGCGTTACGCGATCAAAGAAGCTCTCGGGAACACACCGATCCACATGATCGTGTGGAGAGCGTCTTTCCTCCTCCTCCACCTCCATTAGAGGACTCTCGCGGTGGCCAGCGCTATCTAGTAGAGCAGCTGTTGAACCACCGCGACGTGAACGGACGTCGGACGAGTTACCCTCGTCCGGTGGCGCGGCTATCCCCCGTCCTGGGATTCTTGGGAGCCCCGCTCCCAATTGATGGTTGACGTACTGGGTCTGGTCGAGTAGTACGACGCGACACATCCTGTGCCGCAGAAGGACCGCCGGAGAAAGTCTTCCCGGCACGGTCGTAAAGGGATTTCAGGTTGTCAATCCCTTCGTACATCTCAGTAGAGACACGTACGCGCCACCACGGGCTGGTAAGGAGGTAAGCCTCCTTAGGTGCTCGTGCAGAGTTGTTCACACAACATGGGCACGAGTCTCCCCAAGAGAGGCAGGGTAATCCTTTCTCCCTTGACAGACGATGCAGCTTGTAGCGTGCACCTGTCGGGGTTCGCTTTTCAAACTTATCACGAGCTTTGATAAGTTTGTCGTTCCAAGCGTCACGACCTACATCCTCGAGATTATGGATGTAGGCGTTCCACGCCTGAAGTAGTGAGGGACCATCACGTTTGTGATTCCCACTGTACCATCGATGTCTGAAGAAAGCATCGATGAAGAACTCATGTTCAGCGCGATAGTCTTTCGCGCTGGGGTCAAGGTGATGAATCCTTGACGAATCGAACAATCGTGTTCGATAACGATCACTCGTCGTCGCCGACAAGTGATCCATGACAGATTTAGGAGGCATCCATGCCTTCTTTTCTGGAGCGAGACGCAACACATTGCGGTCCCGCTCTTCCTGCGACGTGCCGACAGAAGTACTGGCACCTGCTGTGAAGTGGTGGTGCCCATTGGAGAAACGACACCACTATTAGCGCCCGAGTCTCGCGACCTCGAGCGCCTTCGCTTGGCGATGGTTCATCTGATGAGTCAGATGAACCAAAGATGCTGCGACGCAAAGCATCGTCCATGCCACGCTTGGCAGGCGGCTTGGATTCAATTGCCGTCGATACGGATCCGTCATCCGTATCAGGAGAGTACGAGACACCGAGCTCGTACTCTGTGAAGACACGAGTGTCTTCATGACCAGCGCCTGCATCACCAGGTGATACAGGCTGAGTCGATTCAGCAACCGATGGGACATCAGTTGCTGTAGTTTCTGCTTCGGCGTCCGCACAGAGACGTGCAGACGCGCTCTCGGCGGCCTTGCTCGCGCATCGCATGGGCTTGTTTACCATGCGATGAGATGTTGGAAAGTGGACGCGGACCAACAAGTGCAAACCCCGTCCCAAATGATTTGGGACGAGTATCCATTTAGTCAATCAGTCACTAAAGTGACTGATGGTTAAGGGGGGTGATGTAACGGGGTGAATCGTTACATAACAATTTATAAGAAATTGTTAATAGAATATAACTATAAGAGTTATATTCTCAGAATATTGTCATAAGGACAATATTCTGTAGCACTTCCAAGTAGTTCCTAATTGGTTGATATAGGCCATTATATCAACCAACGAAGACGCGCCACGACAGACGCACGCAATGAGTGGTGAGCAGATAACTGATTTACACATTTGTATTTAGACATAGTTAGATGAAGATAAATAGTGATTTATTGCAGACATTAACTATTATAAATACAGTTCTACTTCTTACTTTAACCAAGTACTCGCTTCTTCTTACCGTCTTCCTCTGCACGTACGAGTGTACGTGAAGTTACGAGGCACCGCCTTATTCTGTTATCAGAATAAGTAGCTTGTACTGTCACCAGTACAAGCTTCAGGGTGCCCCGTTACAGTTATATTGAGCAATAGTGACGGCTGATACTTGTACCTTGAAACATGCTGAGCTGCTATAGCTGAGCCCGGATCCAGCCTGGATCTCTTTGAGTTAGTCACGACGAGAGACGAGTCACTTGATCAACGCTTTGAATGCATACGAGGATTGAATTGAGTTTGATGCTTATGTTCCTGTCCTGTGCTACCTTTGTTGTAAAATATGACATTAAGGAATCAACTGGAGACGTCTGTAAAGATGAAGATCGCACAGCTATGATGAGGTCATGGGACAAAAAACAGTTGTCTATTGTATATGCTTTTGATAAAAAGGTGGTCTGATTGTTGTTGCTGCTAACTAATCATCATCGACTGATCACCAACTTGCCATAACGAGCAGACCAGCTCGTTTCACTTGTACAGTCGCGCTTTCGCTTTGCCTCCATCACAAGCGTCTGAATGTCGAACATCATAGTATGATGCATTGACCACGATATCGTAGGAGTTTGTCTAGATTGAAAAGTTGTGCTCGCTGTAGAGATCGGATGAGGGACTTTTACAATTATGGAGATGTCAGGTGAATTAATCGTGGCATTGTATGACTTGTCTCTGCTTGCGTCTAAGTTACTGACAAAAACCTGTGACTTATCGAAAGAGTCGGCTGTCTAGAGCGAATTCTACTCCTCGTTTAGATAGAACGGTTATATTTCAGCCATTTCTTTAGGGCCGCCTCAGCTCTTATCAATGCGCGTGAGCTCAACTTGCGTCGGTAAGATAGACTGCAAAATTTTGTAAATTCCGTTCAGAATTCGGCAATGGATAAATTCATACACCTTTTCCTTAAATTTACACCCTTCCTGTCAAACCCGATACTCACATTTTTATCAACTATTTTTCTCTAAATCTAAATTTTAAATAAAAATTTTAGGTTACAAACCACACACATGATGGACATTACTCTATCATAAACTTTCCCTTGACATGCACATTACACTTCCTGAAAAAACCAAAGTGGATAAATCCGGTCCCTTATACGTTATAAGCTTTCAATTAACATTCTTCATCATAATTTGGTTTATAGAATACATGCTACTTCTCTGTCGTCCAACCATTCCAAGTTATATAAAGAAGTCGGCCACATATTTAATTATCACCACATATTACCGTTCACACTCCGCGTCGTAAAAATCTCCCGGCATTTTCGATATTGCACCCTTCCGCCAACAAATTGGACGCACAACCGTTAAAAATGCCACCCATTATGAATTTTGGTCATCCACGCTGTAACGGAGCTACACAGCTCCTTAAGTCAGAGGAAGACTTATCGCTCTACGAGCAACTTAGTTCTAAAGAACTAACGCCTTTACGGGTCAACAAGATTTACAGCTTCAGATCCCTGTTCCAGGGGACCTAACGATTCAGTGAATCGACAGCACTCAGTGCTCAAGATTAGCTACCTCAAGGAGGTGTTGCTAACTCTTAGTGATCAGTGATCAGTGATCAACGATCAAGACGGCTCGCAAGCCACGTGTCCTTTAGATCAAAATGGGAACTGACTTTATTTTTGTTAAAGCCTATAGAATATCTCAATCCTACTCAAAGATCTTCCGTACCTAATGTCTGACACTCGTCAGCCCCTACAAACCAATAAGATATTCTATATCACCTTTACAAAGGGGTAACCTCAGGTGTGTAACACCTCTGGTACAAAGTACCATAATTTCGTGCAACCCCGTTACACACGCCCCCTGAACCTGCTTTGATCCTTTGGTCAAAGGGACCTTGTCTTGGCACTTTTTCGACGCTACCCGCTGCGGTAGTTGCCCAACCTGATCACAATGACCTAGTTAGGCAAAGTGAGTGAAGAAGGACTATTTCAAGGCCGTTTATAATGTCATACTGTCAAAATGCGCAGATGAGTCGCACTGAGCAAATTTGGGATTAAAGAGGGGAAACCTTTCAGGTGACAACCCCTTCGGTTAGCCCTATGACTACACGCTATACACCACCGATCATATGCCGAAACGGTTGATGTACCAACTGTCACCGCTTGTCCCAGATTTATGCTGGCATACTGTAATCCGGGACACGACATCTTCTCTTTTTTCACAATCCTAATTTGATGTCTCTGATGTCTTGTGCTGCGATTACTTCACCTGATGAGGCACTGGCAAGAAATTTATAGCTTATGTAGCTTTTTTATTTTGGACTGTGCAACTTTTTATTTTTGGAATGTGTAAGCTTATCGGCATGCTAAAGATGTCTGCTAGCATACCTTCTGGCGGGCAGTAAACCAAAGTGTACTTGTTCTTTTCTACATAATGTCGTTTCTTGTGGTACTTAAGATCTATTTTCCTCATGTTGTTGTCTCATGTGTTGCTTCAATCACCTTCATCTCCGTTTTTTTTCTTTGCATAAAAACGTGCTTTTCGACGAACTCCCAGTTCATTACACATATTAAGCGCTTACTCATCGTTCTCCATTCATCTGCAGACACGAACTCCGATCAGCACGCATCACCAATAGTCACCCATTTCTTGTGGATCATAGAAGCGTAGGTGCGTACATCCATTGGCAGCACAAAATCGGCCAAGGACTGCCGATATTCTCGTCCATTTCCTAGATCAGCCACAGCATATAACCACGAATCTTGCTCCTTCCGTCGCTGTTCGCAATGTTTAAGTATACGCCTACACTTTTGGATTGTTATGCCTTGCCCAACAAGGCTGTAGTTCGACCTGCTACTCGTAAAATGAAAAAGACTCACTTGGCGAGCATCCAATAAATTGAATTTTATCCCCATTTTCGCACTGCAGTGTCGTATCGGGACGCGTGTATTAAACTAGATATAATTTAACGAACAAACAATTTACTAATACTCCAAAGCTGGCTTTAGATCTACAAGAACCCGTTCCACGTCCGTATCTCCAGTCATCGGGAAGTCAATTTGCACATGTGGCATATGAAACAGGTTTACGCTTCGACATCTTACAATCCGTCTTTCTTTTCAATACAGCCTTGCTAAGCGATTGACATCATTTTACCTTGTATGTACAATTTCTGTCTTTAATAAACATTTCACAGATTCCTAGTTCTATGTCTGAACTTGCTCTGAAGCTCCACTAGAATCATTTTAATGCCGGATTCAGATCCATTAATAAAGTGGCTTCTACAAATACAATCGCGTCCATCGTATTCTCTCCCAGTGCTCATACATACACATCTGTATCCATTTTCGTACGATTTAAATTACAGTTTCGTAGGTATTCGTCCAGAATCCAATGCCAAATGCGTGGTGATTACCCCAAGCCTTAGAGCCTCTGTACATTTGACACACTCGTCCAGTACCATTATTAAAAACAATCAGGCTACTCTTTGTAAATACTGAAACCATACAGAGGTCTAATGAATGCTGGTACAAAATTA